CAAAATTTAATTTTTAAATAAAAACCTACACGCGCAAACACGCGTGCGTGCAAGCCACGACTTATCAAAACTTCTTTTTAAAATAAATGAAAATTGAAAAATTGATGAAAATACTCTATAAGTTTCTTCTAAATCAAAAAGTATTATTTTACTTTTTTCAAATGAAATCTTCAAAAGATTTATTTCTACAGAAAGTCTGAGAAAAATATTATTTTTTCCTATCCAACTCATTTTATGAAACTGTTAATTTTATATGTTTTATTGTATTTTATTTATAGGGAATCATAAACTCAAATAGACAAAAAGTATCAATAATAAATCATAAACTCGAATAGAGAAAAAAATATTGTAGTCATAATTTTTCTTACTACTACATTTTTGATGGCATAAATTCAAATTCATTACCTACATTATTTTATATTTGATTCAAAACAACAACAAAATATTATACAAGCTTACCTGTTTTCAACAAAGATAAAACTAACTGATTTATCAACAACAAAATATTAACTTATAGTTTTCAACTGCCGTGAAAAAAAATGTTTGACCTTTGCTTTAGAATATGTAGTAAGTCAAAAATAATTTACATTCTAAAATTTTTATTGATACTCTTTTTACTCTTCACATCAATCAATTTATATTTTTTTCTCTTATGATATTTTTTTTCGGTTTGTTCTGGTTCTCTCTTTTTCTCTTTGCGTTTCTAGATCTAATTTATAAGAGAGTGAGAGTGAGAGTATTGATCTGTTCTACTTATTTTTTTAAAATTTCTGTTCTACTCTATCATAGAGCCTCTATGTCTTTAAATCACTATTCTTGATCTGTTCTTTTTAACAATACATTAGTTTTCAAATAATGTTATATATGCTGCCAAGTATTGTTACAGAAACATGCATGTAGATGCCATTGCAAGAATTGGATTGTATTCTGTAACCATGGCTTGATCATCATCTCTAGTAGAAAATCTAAATGTAGATTTGAATTAAAATAAATATACAAAGATAACCGATTCATGTTTTGATCTCTCTCTCTATATTCTTGAACCAATAATGCAAACTACACCTTTCTTTCTCTCACCTCAAAAACTTCTTAAGTGATCTTAACTTCGTGGTTAGTAAGCATCGGTGACTTAGGTTCTCTTCGCCAATTCTCTCGGAGGAATTCTCAATTGAAGTCCCACCACAACCACCCTCACTTCTTGTGCTCTATGACAGGTATTGGTACTACTATATGTCCTTTGCTAGCAACATCATCACTAGAGTAAAATTTGAAGGTTAACTAGTTAAAACTTATAAATTATTACTTTTTGTACTTGTAAATTAAAATTAGAGTTTCTTGTAGAATTCAAACAATTCAAAATTCCAAACTAAAATATATATAGATTTCTATAGAATATATGATTGCTTATAATAAATATGCTATTATGTGAACAAGACTATAAAATCTCAAATGATGTCAAATACAAGCTCAAGCAGAACAACAATTTCAAGAACCAAGAACAAGACAACCAACAAGACAGATTTATCTTGTGATGTTTACCCTTCCTGTTCTTCATTTTCCAATATTTTGAACTCAACAAAGTAATGTTCATCTTTCATAGATGTTTCTTTCCAATATCTTATTTCCTTCTTGATTAGTGATTATGTGGACGACAACTTAGATGAAAATGAGATAAGGTCGGCTACTGGTGTTGGAGATGATGTTGTGAAGAGAAGCTGTGAGAAATTGGTTGATACTAAGGAAGCCAACAAGAGAAAAAGGTTAGTGAATTTAGAGGCAGCTCAGTGATATATCGTGAAAGTTGAATGTCCTAAAGTCAGACTTAGACGTAAGCTTCTTAATTAAGCTTACTTATGTGTAATGGGCTTTGTACTGTTTTGTGTTTTAGAATACAGTTAAACCTAAATATAGTTGTATTATTATTGAAGATGGTGGTAAGAAAAAGATAAGGAAGTGATTTTACAATAGACTAGTTGGTTAAAAACTTAAAAATACACAAAACGTAACAAACTCCCAAGAACATGAAACGTGGGCAGAGAAACACATTCCCACTACTATGACACTGCACATGCATTTCTAACTATAAACCATCCAAGACAAATTTCAAAATCAACCAAAATATGACAAAACAACACTTCAACACATGGCTGGATTAACGATTCCGACGATTTTGTTGGAGAAGAAAGGTGTTCATCTGGGGTGGGTTCATCTGCATTATCTGTAACCCGGAGTGCGTTGGAAGCCGAGGGGGAACATATCGAGGTTTTGACAAAACTAGTTATACAGTGGTACCTTTCATCATTGTTGGGACTGTTGCATAGTACACCGCGGCTGGGGTTGGGTATAACGCGAAATGTAGGGAGAACGAATAAAGAGGTTGAATTTCCAACTCGAATACAAGGAGGGCTAGAAAAATCTAACGAGAGTTCAGTTGACAAAATAGTATTAGTTAGAAGGGTATAATTGTTAAATCACAAGCAAAAACGGTGCTCCGGACAAAAACGGTGTCATATGGTTATATGAAAGACACATACGGTGTTTGTGTGCAAATTTTTCTTGTATTTATCATCTGTAAACTCATGGGACACTTTATGCCAAAATTTCCTAACAATATATAATCACATATATTGTAAATTATTATTAAAAATAAAACCTGTAGTATTATTGAAAAGGGACATATGAAAATCCTTGTGAAAAAGATAAAAGAGATGAAGAACAAACAACGTCCTTCAATTACAACAACCAAAATTGTTCCATAAACTTCTTGAAATTAAAAACATAGTTCTGAAATGTTTGTCTATTCGACATAGTTCCGGGGAATTCTAGGCCGAAGTTCATATTTTTCCCTTGGATCTGCCTCAATCTTCATCTTCTTATTCTCGGTTTCTTCTGAGAGCATCAAGAGAGTAGCCGAAGCCTTCATCTCTTCATGTCTCCTCTTTCGATCTGCTCGAAGGGCCTCCAGTTTCTCCTTGAAAGCAACCAAGTCCTCCAATTCTACTTTCTCCAACATCTTGGACTTCTCAAGTTCTTCTTGGTTCCTCTTTCTCAACAACTAAAATTTACAAAATAATTCTAAACATAAGAAATAATAATCATAACATATATATGATAACTTATGGGTTACACATACCTCCTCATGCATTTCGAGTTGTTCCAATTCTTTCATGAGATTACGTTCAACA